GCTAGGGGGTTTCGGGTCTTTATACGGTGCTCAGGGAAACAATCCGCCTTTAAGGACCCTGAGTTCTTGCATGACAGCGCCGAGCAGTAAACTGTTGAATACCATGTCCGTTTAACGTTTAAGCGGGTGTTAATATTTTGGGTCAGTTAGGGCAGTCGATAAGTCATAAAGGCGCCCTGGCCGATGCAATTCTTAAAGTTATATGGCGAAACACTATCGCGGCCCAAAGCTGCTGCCTAATTACGCCACTTCTTACACCAAGGTGCTCCCTCGGCACCCTCTTCTTCGCCCAAGGGCGCGGCGAAGCGAGGCGTCACGCCCTCCCGGAGGCGGGCGGCTTGGGAGCGCTGATGGACATACGGGGCGGATCGACAAAGGATTCGTTTGTTGAAAAGAAGCATCCCCCCAAAAAAAACCCTAAAACCCGATTCTATTTGCTCACGGCACCTGTATTCCAAGAAAGCCTAGGCCCCAGCTCAGCCATTTGGGGGTTTCTGCAAATAGGGGACCCAAATATAGTACCTTAAATAGTAGGATCCTCATTAGAAGGACCCCCAGAATAAGGTACCCCTTATTTTCGGAAACTCCCAACCCTAAACCCTAAACCCCCAGAATCATGGTACACCTTATTTTCAAGAAACTCCCTTTTGGCGCAGTCTCTTCATCGCTGCTTCGTGTCTGGGGCTTCGACGCTTTTGGGCGTTGAAACTTCGAGGTTTCTTTGAAAACCCGGGCCCCGCGGGACTCAAAAGGGTTCTCGATGTAATGTACGGGGCCTTAATAATTAGAATAGGGTCCACTACAATTATAGTAAGGAGCCCCCAAAATATTAGAGGTAATTATTGAGGCCCCTATACTAGCTGCGCTGACGAAAGATGAGAGTGACTTAGGAACTTAGGGTCGCCGTTTTAATAACCAAGCCTATACTGAACTTAGACCCCTAGCAAAAATTATAATTTTAGCTGCTTCTTAGGGTTTATAGTAACCAAAGATTAAAAATTATTTCTAAGTACCCCTAAGAAGCCTACCAGGGAAATTCAAGAACCCGTGAACTCCTCGTTGCAAGGCTCTTGCGCTTCTTAGAACCCTTTCTTGCCTCAGGACTTGTGCAATCGGGCTTCTTAGAGCCTTAAACCCTGAACTCATGGAAATTCTTGAACCCGGCTCCTCGTTCTTAGGTTCTTGCGCTTCTTATCGGTGCCTAGACCTAAAGCAAGATTCCCAAACCCTAAACCCTGAACTCAGTTCAGGCTCTTCCTGTTTAACGAACCGGGCCAGATGGAGGAATGTCGGGTCAGGAGTCCTGCACCTGCGACATCTGGTGCTTTTTACACTCCGGGCGCGCACGCACACGTTATGGGCCCCTCCTAATGAGGATTTCTCTCTTTTCAGGGTCTATGTTAGGGTCAACGAATATTCCCAAATGGTTAGGTCATCTAGTGCTCTTGTTGCTTTTCGCTGGGCCCTTCAAGATTTCGGTGATACGAGCTCTTACTACTTTTGTTCACCAGGAGTTGAAGATTAAACCCCCTGTTATGCTCAGGATTCTGTTGTTCGACAAGAGATCACCCCAAATCCAACCAGGGAAATTCAACATCACCCCAGGGCCCGTTATACTATAGTTATGATA